CTATGATGTAGGAAAAAAATAATTTGTCACCTGAAAGACGATGCAAAGATGAACAACGTGAGACTAATAGGCATCAATGAGAAAGAAGGAGTCGATACAAATGATAAAAAAAGAATATGGGCAGAAGTAATAGCAGAAATCTTCCCAAATATGAGGAAACAATCTGATATTCAGGTAACTGAAGCATACAGAACTCCAAATAGCTTCAACCCAATTAAAAACATACAGAGACATATAATAGTCAAGATCCCAGAAATCCAGCACAAGAACAATATACTGAAAACCACTAGAGAAAAGAAACAAATCACAATTAAAGGAAAACTCATCAGAATAACGACAGACTTGTCTTCATAAACCATGAAGGCAAGAAGAGCATGGAGCAGAGTACTTCAAGTCCTCTATGAAAACAAATTGCAGCCCAGACAGACTACTATACCCTGCAAAATGCTCTTTCAAGTTTGATGGAGAAGTGAAATACTTCCATGACAAAGAACAACTAAAGCAATTCATGATGACAAAGCAAACCCCACACAGACTACTAAAAGATGTTCTAGAGAGGGACCAAAATGATCAGAATCCACAAACAACAACAGAAGGAACCCACTAAATAGGGTAAGCAAATACAGGACAAAAAGGAGTAAACAACAGCATGGAAAATAACATGTCAATCATAAGTCAATACATCTCAATTATAACCATCAATGTAAATGGACTCAATTCATCAATTAAAAGAAATGGACTGGCACAGTGGATTAGGAAACAAAATCCAACAATATGCTGTATACAAGAAACACACATAACTCATAAAGAAATTCATAGGCTGAAAGTCAAAGGATGGAAAACAATACTACAGGCCTTAGCACCTCAGAAAAAAGCATGGGGGTAGCCATCCTGTTTTCAGTCTCAACTTCAAAGAATGATCAACCCAAATAAAGAAGGCCAATATATACTGATTAGGGGAAAAATTCAAGAGAAAGAGGCAACACTCATAAATAGATACGCACCAAACTTGGGAGCACCCAACTATATAAAGTAAATCTTAATGCACATGAAAAATCTAATATCCAATACCACAATCTTAACGGGAGACTTTAACACCCTCTTATCCCAAAAAGATAGGTCAACCAGACAAAAAATTAGCAAAGAAGTAGCACAACTGAACCAGAGCTTGGAACAAATGGACTTAGTGGACTTACACAGAGTGTTTCACCCAACGTCAGCTGAGTATACATTTTTTTTCAGCTGTACATGGGTCATTTTCAAGACCACAAACTGGTTCATAGGTCATGCTTAAGTATGTGCAAGAAAACAGAAATTATCCCATGCCTATTATCTGACCACAGTGCAATGAAACTGGAAATAAATGAGACAAGAAAACAGAAAAACCCCATAAATACATGGAAATTAAACAACACCCTTCTCAGTCACCAATGGGTCACAGATGAATACGTTGTATATTCGTGTCAAAGGTGCCTAAGACTGATTTTGTTGGATTGACAACAAATTCAGTTTATTAACATTCTCATAAAACACAATTCATTTGTTCAGCCAGGGACTTGCTATACTCATATCTTCAGTGTAGCTTGCCAACATTTATTTAATGAGGCACAAACTTACTATAAACTCAATTACTCTATTAGAATTTTCTTTTTAGTGCATCGTCATACTAACTGAGAGTGTTCAACAATGTTTAGAAACTTAATTATAAATTCGCTCTTTAGTTTTTAGCACGAATCTGTACAATATTTTCTAATTGACTCACCTACTAATATATGTCTTAGTGCTGCCTTCTGATTTGTATCTAAAAAAAAAAACAATGAACCGATTAGAGCTAAAAAAAAAAAAAAGGTTTAAAACATTGGGATTGAATGTCAGACTATTATACAAGCAGTGTTATTATTTTATAAAGCTAATTACCAATAATTAATGGGCAAAGACCACTGAATAAAGATGAAGATAAATATTTACCATCTCATTTACATCACCCACAAAGAGTGCAATTCATGCATTGAGTACGGAAAGCATCCAGAGAGCACAAATTTGATTTTTCCTTGCCAATTCTCCCTGCACCACAACCCCAGTATCATGGCTTTAACCCTGGGCTATGCTAAGCAAGCACAGTACCACTGAGCTAACTCCCCAGCCCCTTTTTCATCATCATTTGTAAACACAGAGTATGCACTGGTTCTTCAGCATTTGATTCTAATCCTCATACCCCAAGCTTTTTTTAGTTAAAAATTTGATTACACTGTATAGAAGAACTAGATTGACTTCTAGACAATCTGGCAAAGCACTTTCACCTTGCCATTCTTCATACAGAAGAATGGTCTCTCTCTCTCTCTCTCTCTCTCTCTCTCTCTCTCTCTCTCTCTCTCACACACACACACACACACACACACACACACCATGGCTGAGGTTAGCAACAGGGAAAGGTTCTACCGGCATCAATAAAAGTAATGAAACTGACAGCTCACAGGTAAACAGGAATTAAGGATCAAAGATTGCAGAAATATCTACAAAATTTAATAGCCACCCTCCATCCCTAAGAGGGAGTTGAGGTTCTAGGCCTTTTCTGAACCTATTATTCACAACAGGCAGCATGCCCTTTTAAAATGATCCTCTAGTTCATAGTTCATGCCGACCAGTGTGCTAACTGTAGATGTGGAACAAACCTGTACTCATGGTTCCTCTATGATTGAAACAGCAACTGCACACTAAGAGATGATTCATATCCACTTGGACTTAAGCCACCACTAGCTGCTGAAATAATATAATTATCCACAGATCCATAGAAAATAAGTGATCTAGTTAGCATTTGTGGAAAGACAAAAAAGGAAAACTAGCTTAAACACTTGAATAAATAACTAAGACTTTAATGTTCAAATGATACCACATACAAACAAGTATTAAGAAGTTTTTTTTTTAAAATAACTGTGATCTAGGTCTCACTAATTAAAATAAGACAGCAGAAAACATATAGTCTCAGACAATTTATAACAGCCGCTTCAAAGAAACTTGATCCTCATGAAAATACAGAGGAACAACTCAACAGTCTCATATAGATACTGTACAGATAAATAGACAAATTTAATGATGAAATCGCTAAAAATATTAAGTGAAATTAAAAATATGATAGAAGTTTCACTAACAGAATAGAATAAGGACAATCAGTGAACACAAAGACAGGCTATTTGAAAAGTACACAGTTGGAAGAGAAAAATGAAAAAGGTAAAAATAGGAAGCTTACAAGAAGTTGGAAACAGCAGTAACAGAGCAAATGCTTCAGTTATCAATTCAAGAGGTACTCAAGAAGAGCAACATAATCAAAAGCTATCTGAAGGATGAGTAAGAGAAAACCTTCCAAATTGATTTGGTTATACAAATACATAGATATACAAATATCCAGATACAGGAGGCTCAGAAGTCACCAGTCAAATTTTCTCAACTAAATATACTGTCGCCTCAAATTATTATTAAGCCTATGATATTAAAGATAAAAGAAAGATGCTCCCGGCAAGAAGATAAAAGAAATAATCAACATGTGAGAGTGCTCCAATTCACCTGACACAGCTTTCTCAGCAGGGACATTACAAGCCAGCACAGAGTACAATAAGATTGTCATAGAATTGGAAAAAAAATCTGTCCTCCACGGATAGTGTACTCAGCAAAGCTATCCTTTAGAGATGGAGGGAAGACATTCCCAGATGAGAAATGCAAGAGATACTAATGCATTATACATATATGTGATAACATGTAATATGCACAAGTTAATTTGGAGACTACTCTCTGCAGGAGAGAAGGGGGGGAATCACACCTGTAGAGAATTGAAGGTGCAAATGCAATGATTGACTTTTTAAGAGTAACAAGGAAGACATCAACATTTGGTTATTTTCGGTGGTAAGTAAATGTACGTTTGCCATCTTGTTCTCTGCGCTTGTGTTTGAATTGTTTAAAAATAAAAAGTAGAGTCCAAAATATAAATTTGCCTTCTGAAAGTGCTAGAAATTTTTTTAAATTGAGGTAACCAGGTAAATTGCAATATTTTACCTATGGAAGGGTCAGAAAGGCACTTTTCTTTTTTTCTTTTTCTTTTCTTTTCTTTTTTTTTTTTTTTTTTTCAGAACTGGGGATTGAACTCAGGCCCTTGCACTTGCCAGGTATGCACTTATTCTGTTGTGCTATCTCCCCAGCCCCTGTAAGGTACTTTTCTAATAAACACCTTTCATGCTCATGGCTGAGAACTTCTAGAACATTTGAAAGTAACAAATATGGATTCATTTCTGTTTTTACTCTCTCAATTAGCAGGGCATTAACTTTGGCAGGTTAGTGATTCTACTTCAAATCTTCACACCTTTAAGCTGGGGATATGCACAAGTATCTCACATGATTGAGATACTGACCTGGTAGGATGCAAGGTATTTATAGCTAATGCTGATATTGTCTTACACATTATGAGATTCAAATGCTGTAATATTTAACTTCAGAATTCAAATTCAACTTACTCAACGTCTACAGATTCCTTCTCCTTGGTAGGCCACTTTTTCAAACTTTTCCATGCCACAGCTATTACGGATACTATGACGAGAACAGGCAATGCAATGTAGAAACCTAGAAGCCAGTTTTTTCTGGTCTTCCCTGAAGCTTTTGTGACCATTAAACCTAAAGATAAAACAAAATTAAAAATTATGCTGCCTGCTTTCACTTTTACATTGCAACAAATTCATTAAGATATTCTCAATTATTGTTACTCAAGGAAAATGGAAAAAATAGAGAATTGTGAGACTTGAAATGATAAAGTATTACTTTTTATTGGCTTTTCCATTAAGTGAAAAAATGTATTTTGGATCAGAGTTTTAGAGGCTTTGGGCCTGTTGTTCTTTAAAATTTTAATTTTTAATAGTATATGTTTGTGATACATAATGGTCACACTCCCCTTGAGGAGCATGTCCATGTACATATCTTAAATTTACTGCCTTTTTTTTTTTTTTGCCCCTTTCCCCTCCATTCCTGCCAATTCTTCTTTCCCTTTCCATTTATAAAAGTTCCTTTTTTTTTTCTTTAAATGTTCTTTCCTTCCTTTCTCCCTTGTATATCCCCCTTCCCATTTGAAAAGGCTATTCCTACTTCCTCATATGTATCCTCCGCTTTGCTTCTTCTTTTTGCTTTGGATTTTTTACATAAGATAAACAGTGTGATATTTAAACTTGTGTGTCTCACTTATTTCACTTGAGATTATGGTCTGGCATTACATCATTTACCTAAAAATGTCTTAAATTTATCCTTCATCACAGCAGAGCAGTACTTCGTTATATATAAGCACATTTTGATTATCTTTTCATCTCTTGAGAGGCACAGGCTAAATTTCAAGATTTAACTACTACAAACTGTGGTGCTATAAACATGGGCATCCACATATCACGGTGGTATGCTGCTTTCAACTCTTTCAGGAAAATACCTAGGTTGGGAATAGCTGGACCAAGTGGGATCTTTAGCTTTAGTTTTTTGAGGAATCTCCACACTGATTTCCATAGTGGTTATATCAGTTTACACTCTCACCAACAATGGAGAAAGAGGGCCCATGCACCCTGCAGCTTTTTTTTTT